AAAGAAAATTGGGAAACAGGTTGCTCAGAGCAAGCCTGAGGTTCCTCATAAAACTGTTAATGTTGAAAATTCACTAACTAGTAAACCTTTGCATTCCAGGTGTATCCATAAGTGGCATAGAAGATTGGGGCATGCCAGTTTCCGTGTTCTTAGGAAGATGCCGGAGTTCGCAAAAGGTTTGGATCTAAAGGGGTGTAAGGTGTTTTTGGATTGTGCTGTATGCAAGAAGGCCAAATCCAAAGCAGCAGCCATTCCAAAACGTGCTACACGCCTGTCAACACACATTTTTGATTTGGTACACACTGACATAGTTGGTCCATTTCCACCAATACTTGGTGGTAGAAAACATCGCCAGAATCCAGAGTGACCGTGGTGCCGAGTTCATGTCTCAGCGTTTCCAGGACTGGATGTGCAAGAATGGAATTCTTCATCAGACGTCGGCGCCTTACACACCGGCTCATAATGGGGTCGTAGAGAGAAGACAAGGGGTCCTGCAAACCATGATGCGTTGTCTCCTAGAAGACGTCAACCTCAGTAACCCATACTGGGGTGAAGCTATCAAATATGCAAATTACATTGTGAACCGTACTTGGAGCAGTGTAATAAATCAGACTCCTTTCTTCATGTTGTATGACTACAAGCCCGATCTCAAAAACATCCATATTTTTGGTTCATATGCTATGGTGAACATTCCCTTAGCTCAAAGAAGGAAAGGAGGTCCAACAGCAAAGAGACTGAGATTTATGGGTATTGATGACAACTCAAAATGGAGTAAATTTATTGACTCTAAACATGTAATAGTGACTTCCCAATCTGCCAATTTTGAGAAGATGTTGACTGGTCCAGGATTCATTCCAATGAACCTGGAGTTTATTTTCCTAGAGATGATACTACTGATACTGCGCAGATTGATGATCAAGATTCCACTAGTTCTTCTCAACCTGATGTTCCGTCTTCGCAAGCCGCAGATGCTGATGCTAGCGACGAATGTGAGGACGAGGACGAAGCAGAAGAAGAAAGGACAGTTGTTCCGAGATGTTCCAAGAGGGTCACAAAAGGGATCCCTCCACAACGATATTCTTGGCAACTGTTACACTTCCACCTGATAATGTTACACTTCCACCTGATAATTTCACACAAATCAAACATCTTCCTGATTCAGAGCAAGACAAATGGTATGAAGCAATGCAGGTTGAAATGGACAGTCTAACGAAACTTAAAGTGTTTACACCTGCAAAACCTCCAGCAAACAAAAAGGTCATTGGCACTCGATGGGTCTACAGAATCAAAAAGAAGCCAAATGGTGAGTCATTGTACAAGGCCAGACTTGTAGCTCAGGGTTTCGCTCAACGTTATCCTGAGGACTACACAAATACCTATTCACCGACAGTCCGAACTGAGAGTGTAAAAATTGCTTTAGCAACTGCAACTATCCTTGGTTTAGAAGTTTTCCAGTTCGATGTTGACACAGCTTATCTACATGCAGACCTAGATGAAGAGATCTAAGTGAGAGGCCCTCCAGGATTCCGACAGCATGAAGGGGATACCTGGTTTCTAAACAAAAGTCTTTATGGTCTGCCTAAAGATGTTAAATTTATTTTTAAAATTTTTTGATAAAATTCTTCCGCTTTTTCGACAGTATTCAGTTGGTATCTTACTCCTTGGTGTCTCAATATTAAACCAACTGGGACGTCCCACCTAAATAGAATATTCCTTTTTTTTAACTCATTCACTAGAAAACCAAATTTCTTCCTCTCCATTAACATCTTGGGCGGGAGTTCCTTAAAAATCCAAATCTTTCTTCCACGAAATTACAAAGTAGAATTATAAGAATTCTGCACAATTTTATTTCTAATTTCTTTGTCTGTAAAATAAATCACCACATCTCTAGGCAATTGCCTTTGTTTTGCCAACCAGGAGTTTATTCTATAAATTCTGTCAATCCTGCAAAACACTTCATCAGGTTGAACCTTTAAAATCCCAGCCAGAAGATATCTTCCTTAAATCATCTCTGTCATTTTCCTGCAGACCTCTCAGTCTAATTGCATATTCTGTAAAATTGTGTTGGATCATTAAAACTTCTCTTTCAATCCTCTGTTGTACATTTTCTTCATTACCAGTCTTTTGATCAGCCTCCATTTTAAGTTTGTCTTCTGAACTATTATCCTGAGTGTTTGCCAAATCCTTTTTAATTTTTTGGATCTTGTCATCCAAATTCTCCTCAGTTTCTTTCATTTTAGACTCTAATAATTTAGTATTTGCATCCAACTGAATCACAAAGTCTGCTAAGCCATTAGCTGTTTTTAAAATCTTTCGATCCAAAAAGCCAAACTTAGATTTCACCAATTCACCAATTTCTTTGATTTCCAACTTAAATTTTTCAAGTTGCTGATTCACAATCTCATCCCTTCTTACAATCTCCTCAAGAAGAAATTCTATTATATTAAAGTCAGATTTCTGAGACTGGAGAGTTAAAACTTGTTGATGTAATTTATTAATGGGGGAATCCCCCCCCCCACTGCCTGTTTGTCTAGCTTTATAAGTCTCAGTGCCATTTTTCCACGCAGACAAAATTTACTGGAAAAGAGAAAAAAAAAACTTTTTTCCAACCAAGATCAATATCAGATCCCCAAGGGAAAAAAAAGGAAAAAAAAAACAGAAGTGAGAGTGAGGTTTTGCCTTCAGTTACAGCCAAAAGTATTCATTCCGCTACTTTGTAATTGAAAACGGAAGGAGTTTCCCTTTCAGCCTCTCTTCAAGCCGCAGCAGCAATCGCCATTTTAAAAAACTTTTTTCCCTTCACTTCACTTCTTAGGCAAAATAAAATAAAAAGAATACTTGCGCTTCAGGATCAGAGGTCCAGCTCATATCTTCTTTAATTAATTTATTTGACAGATTTACAGGCTTGCTTTTGCCCCCTAGCTCTGCGTGTAGCAGAGATTTCCCAGAGCCCGGAGCATCGGCTGGGGATACGGGGAGTCTCTTCCGCTCCCTCCCAAAAGTAAATAAAAAACTTTTGGGATTAGGCAGAGGACTCTACCCACCCCAGCCGGCTCTATCTCCGTGAAAATGTTATTATCTCTGGTTTGAACAGAATTAGAGCTCCATGTCATTTCTACTGTATGATGAGTCAACCACTTAATAAGTTTGCCCTTGCTTGAAACAAACTTATTTTGGGCCAAAAAAAGAAAAAAAACCACCAAAAAACCTTGGAATGGTGTGACTCAAGTTGCATGCATGGCACTCAAAATATTTATTTCTCATAAAAAATACAACAATTTATTTAATACTGTTGTTATTGTAAATTGCAGTTGACACATATTAAGACATGATTTACAAGTCACAGAGGCTATGTATAGGTTAAACCAAGCCAAAAACAAATATTTAAGAAGACTTTAGCATCTGAATATCAATTTATCGAGGTATGCAATTTTATAATTATTTACATACAAATTTTTTTGATGTAAATATTTCAGGCAGCAAAATGTGATTGAAATTAAAATGAAATCAAGCTAACCAAGCAATCGAATCTGCTGATTCAAAAGCTCTGTTTATCACAAGTGTAGGAAGTTAGTACCCACCCCTTTCCTGGAAGAGTGAAATATTTTAGGAAATATGAAAAAGGCAGAATATTATATTTCCCTGGATGCGAAATGGAGAAGCATATTTTACAGACAAAGCGGCTCCCACCTTCCTGCCCCCCACCCTTTGTCAATGGGCCATTAAGGCCAGGGCCAGTCCAGTCTACATAACAAAGATCTGCCTCCTTCAGGCAGAGCCATAGTAGGAATTGCCAAAGATCCAACAAAGATAGGATTAGCCCTCTACACAATAGCAGCAGAAACTCACCACATGTGACCTGGGAAGCACATGTGACCATCAGCCAGCAAGGCTAGCTAAGACCCCCACCCCCTGGGAGTCTGACAACCAATCAGGATACTCTTTCGGGGCCCCAAGAAATGCAGAGCCAGAGAGAGCATAAAAACCCGAGGATTTACTGTATCTGCCCCTTTTCTGTTCAGGAACTCAAGCCATGTGATCCTGTCCACCATTAAACCATCTTTCCAAGCAGTCTCCATGTTTCCAGTGTCTTTTTCCCCACTTGGAGCAGAACCTAGAAGGATGTTTCTTCCAACACTAGAACGCATGCTTACTCAAGAAACAGCTTCAGGATGCCAAGAAGAATGAGTCAGTCAGTTCCCAGGTCCATGATATTTAATTGCTCCCTTGCAATAATTACGTACAAGGAGAAACTGTTTTGGGCACAGGAGGCAAACAAGAGATGGATTAGGAGAAAAAAATTATAATTCCTGCTTGGCAAATCTGAGAGATGAATAGAGATGAGAGATGAACAAGGGATCAGGTGGATAGAAAGGATCAGAGATCACCAGAATGTTCTTTAGGGAATTGTGAGCTATTGCCAGAGATCAGGAAACCTAGCAACTCTGTCCACTTGGTCAGCACTCGACTGGATGACACCCCCCCCAAACTTCTCTACAACAGAGAGCATCTTTCCAATAGAAGAGAATATCTGTAGTTCTGGGTTGAACTGTGGAGTCTGAACTTGGTGTTCTCTGAGCCTGGTTGCTTGCTTGGAAACATTTCATTGCCCAGCCAGGTGGCATCATCATTGCACTGTTGCACATTATCATGGCACTGATGATGCTACTACCTAAAGCAAACAACCAGGTTCAGAGAGCACCAAGGTTTCCACTGGGAGGTCTCTATCTCCTCCTATAAAGCATAGAACTGTAGTCTCTTTCAGCGTCAAGCACATATAGCGACTTGCAGAAATCGGTTCCCCACCTCCACCCCCGCATTTGAAATATTGCATTCCTTGTGGAAAGCCCTATTTTCGTGCCTGCGCACAGGATCGCCTTATTTCCTCAGGAATGAATTGAGAAGCCGCGAAAGCGACGCAGCGCGCAGCTCCCCCATCCCGCCCAGAACCTCCTCCTTGCACTTTCTGGAGCCCGAGCGGAGCGCGTGGACGACTGTACTTGTGGGTGGGCGCATGAGGAAGCCATCGCAGTCCTCGCTCCCGCGTGGCAAACTGCAGCTTCTTTCTGGCGCTCGGGGGTGGGGGTGGGAGGAGAAGCGCCTGCTTGTGCCGCACCCAACTGAGTCGTTTGTCAGCAGATACTGTCCGATTCTGCCATGGTTCGCGCGAGCCTTAAGCCACCCTTCTTCCATTTTGCGATAAGCCCAGAATGATGAGCTGGTAGATTCCAAATTTGCATGTTACGATTGCGATACGTTTGCATATCCCCAGAGGCAAACCCTGGAAGGAAGCCGGGAAGACGACAGTAGTTCAATGCAGGGCTTGTTCCGCCATCAGGCTTTCTCAATCCTTTTCTTTTCCCCGGCAATCTTTGTAAACACCTGCCTGAAACGCGAGTTGTGGTGTAAAGATCTTATATGTTTTATTACCTCGGCTCTTCCTGGAAACAGAAGCTGAGAATGAGCGTTTTGGCCATAAATCAGCAGCCCTCGAACTTCGATGCAATGAGTCAGCCGGACTAAAGAGGCAATAGTACTAGTTAAATTTGTTGGTGAGCATGTGTAGAACTCCTACTACTGCTTTAGTGCTCTGACTGGTTTGTGCATAAGTTTTGAGATCGATTATTCGATCGCAAATATTTAAGGAAAGGCGGTGCTGGATTAAAGATTTTTAGAGGGATAACCCGTGTTGATCCGTTGCCGTAACCGTTTGGTAATAAGATTCCAGGATCCAGGACAATTGTTGACGATGCTGAATAACATCCTGGAGATTGATAAATATTAAATCCCGATGGGTGGCGCCGTGAACAGACAGTAATGGCTTATGCAGAAAATGTGAGATGGTGCTATGCATTACTAGCTTATTTAGAAATGGAATTTGTGTAAATAGTGAACTGTAATATTAGCTTAGTAGTTAGACTTTTAAAAAGTTAGGTGGTTCCACTGGGGCTCGAACCCAGGACCTTCTGCGTGTAAAGCAGACGTGATAACCACTACACTATGGAACCTGTATGAGAAGCAGGCTTAATGTAAGTATCCCTATTCTATGTTTTAAAGGCTTTCAAATTTGACGATGCAATCACTTCTAATTTTTCCCTAGTATATCCTGCACAGCATTGCTAGCAGTTCCTGAATTTATCTGAGACAATGCTATTCTTAAGTAGTAGTCAAAAATTACATCAGCAGCCTCTATATTTTGAGGCTTCTCAGAGCTGGAAGTAAATTTCATTTTAAGATTTTAGATTTAGATTTTTAAAACCCCAACTTCGTTATTATATATAACAAGAGGCAAACATACATAATATGCCTCCTCCCCGTTTCCCCATAACAACAATCCTGTGAGTTGCGTTGGGCTGAGAGAAAGTGACTGACCCAAAGTCAGCCATTTTGCCCAGTTAACTTTACTTCGGGAGTTGCACAAATGAGCAATTGGATCCTGTTTATAATTTACGGTGCTGATTGCCACGTTTACAACCTACATAGGTCAGGATCTGGATATCTTTGGGGTTTTCAACATGCCTTCCATCCCTCTAATTAGAGAGTTCACTTTGTGTCCCTATTCTGCAATGGTTCTAAAAGGGTTATCAAAAGTCACAAACACAGCTTTTTTCTAGTGCTTCCCCTTCCCAGGAACATCATCTCCCTTAAAATCAGATGATTGCCAAGGCTGTTTGGGATAGGATTGAGATTTCCTCTCTGCTGTAAGCAAAGTAGCAAATTATTGACTCAAAAATACTTAAATACAAGCTAGTTACTGTTTAAAATCAAACCAATATTGTGGCAAAGATACAGCAAATTGGAGCAATCCTAATTATTTTCATTCTAGAGCTAAAACTTTACAAAGCTATGGTTCCAAATATATTTCCTGTTTATTTTCTCTCTGTGTTAGTCTTTTAAAGAGCTTTGACTTACTTTGCTATTCTTACTTGCGTCAAGCAAAGAGAGCATTATCTCTCCCCTAGAAATACACTTTTTCTGTTCTTTACTTTGGTAAAGTGTTTTCTTTCCATAATTAAACCTCATCTCATACTTCAGTCTACTAAGAAGCAGACCTTTCTCTCTCAGATTCAGGAAGCTTGTTAACAACAGAGGTACATTAGTGTGCCTGGCTGTCTGAGCTGCTTTTCCTATCCCTAATACAGAGCCCTTTTTTTCCAGACTGGATGAGGGAGAGGAGTTGTTTACCTATTCACGTCTACTATGCGAAATCTGGATGTGAGATCTATATATATAAATGCAAAATAGGTAAGGGTACACCCAAGGAGGCAACTGAAGAGTCTATTGATTTCATGCTGTACTCCATGCATTCTGCCTGGAAACAAGATTTGTTTACAAAACCTCTTGATGCATTGAAAGAAAGCAGGTAATTTGTGGGGGAGGGCAACTATCTGTTAATGTTTGCTTTTGCCTGGCAGTGGATGGGTTTTATTTGTCAAAACAAATCCGCCTATGTTGAGAAAAGAAATACACAGTCCAACAAACTATGATGCTACTGTAGGAAGTTAGCACCCACCCCTTTCCTAGAAGAATGAAATATTTTAGGAAATATTAAAAAGGCAGAATATTATGTTTTCCTGAATGAGAAATGGAGAAGCATGTTTTAAAGATGAAGCAGCTCCCACCTTCTTGCCCCCCCAATGGGCCAGAGGCAGAAACTCAATTCCCTCCCATCTTTGTCAATGGACCATCATCTGCAGAGCCTTGGCACTACAGTGGTTTAAAGCACCCTGTTATTAACACAGCTGCCTGCAATTTACTGCTGGTTCGAATCTCTCCAAGGCTCAAGGTTGACTCAGCCTTCCATCCTTCCTAAGGTAGGTTAAATGAGGACCCAGTTTGTGGGGGCAATAAGCTGACTTTGTATAAATATACAAAAGGATGAAGGCTATTGCTTAACGCACTGTAAGCCGCCCTGAGTCTCCGGAGAAGGGCGGCATATAAATCAAATTTAAAAAAATCTGCAACACAATAGGACCCATCTAGCAACAGAAACTCACCACATGGTACCTGGGAAGATTACATCAGCCAGCAAGGCTAGGTAAGACCCTCACCCTCTGGGAGTCTGACAACCAATCAGGTACTCTTTCGGGACCCCAGGAAGTTCAAAGCCACAGAGGGCATAAAACCCGGGACTCGCTGCATCTTGCGCCCTTTTCTGTTCAGGAACTCAAACCATGTGATCCTATCCACCATTAAACCATCTTTCCAAGCAGTCTCCATGTTTCCAGTGTCTTTTTCCCCACTTGGAGCTGAACCCAGAAGGATAATTCTTCTAACACTAGACACCAGTCCTAATTCTCTTGGTACAGCTGGAATTTGTCTAAATAAATGTTTCTGGAATATGATTTGGGTCAAGAGAAATTGTGATAGAAGTTGATATTGGTGGTGTGAAAGGTAATTATTGTTGCATTTAATAGGATCTTTTTTAAAATAAAAGTTATTTTTATTTCTCATAAAACATATATAAATATACAATCTCTTCAACCATTCTTATAATACATATTATCTTTTGGTTTCCATATTGGTTCATTCTTCATCCTAAAACTTTAAAATACATTTGGAGTTGCTCTTCTACCATTCCATATCTCCCTTCTTCCACAACAACCATTCCTCTCCTTCTCCCCTCTTACCCTCCCCTCCCTTCTTCTATTCTTTTCAACTTTCTTCTTTCCTCCCCCTTCTCTCCTTCCCTTTCCTTTCCCCAGTCCTCCCCTCTTCCTCTTTCTAACCCTCTCTCCTACTCTTATTTCCCCTCCCTTTCTTCCTCTCCTTTTCCCTTTCTTCTCTCCCTCTCTCTCTTTTCCTCCCTTCTCATCTCTCCTTCCTACCTGTCTCTCTACTCCTCTCTCTCTTCTCTCTCCATTGTGTCCATTTTCAATTCAATATTTTATCAAGATGGTATTTGAGCAACCCCAATCTTATAGTTACCCACATTTTCCTTTCAATTTTTTTTCTATTTTGCTGGTTATGATGAAGAAGTAAAAGAAACAATGATAGCATGAGCAAAAAAATTTGGCTATACAATTGAATTAGAGAAATGGCAACAACTATGGGAAAGGAATTATAAATTAATAATGGCAACAGCATATAAAGAAAATTTATATAAAATGTTTTATAGATGGCATATGCCACCAGAAAGGTTAGCAAAAATATTTAAAGATAAATCTGCTAAATGTTGGAAATATCATCAGTCGCCGGGATCATATTATCATATGTAGTGGTCATGTAAGGAAGCAAAGAATTATTGGGTTAAAATACAAATGTGGTTTGAAGGGATGCTACATGTTGTGGCCCGCCAGCAGCCTGAGTGGATTGTTGCTGATCCTGACGACGAGGTGGCTGGTGTGGTGCTGCGCCAGCAGCCTGTGCAGCTGGCGCTCGAGTTGGACAGTGAGGAAGCTGAAGAAGAGGTAGGGATTCAGTCAGGGCCTTCAGAACCTCCAGAGCAGCGGTTCTCAACCTGGGGGTTGCGACCCCTTTGGGGGTCGAACGGCCATTTCACAGGGGTCACCAAAGCCCTCTCTCACCCCCCCCACGCCTTCACTCACCCTCACTCTCTGCTCTGTTGGATCGCCGGCTGTTCACTTACCCCGCCCGCCCCCCAATCTATTGCTGCCTCCGGAGTCCCAGCTGATGGCTAGAGGGAAAAAACTGTTTAAATTCTTGCCGCGGGGCTTCAAAGGGCCGCCCTACTCTCAGCTGTTTTGCGGAGGGCTCTGTTGCTAGCTAGCTGCAAAGAGGTAAATTCCTGGAGCAGATTTTTTCCCCCCTAGCTATGCTGAAAAAGCGAAATTGAAAGTAAGCAGGGTCTTTGCTCCAACGTGACAAAATGAGGCAGAGAGATTTCTTTTTTTTTTTCCTCACCAAAAAAGGTAGGTGCAAAACTGCAAACAATGGGAAATTTAGGGCAAAAGAGGAGGTTCAAGATTTTAAAACACAAAAGAAAAAAAGCTCTATTTAACTAGGGAATTGTAATAATTGAGATACTATTAATTGTATATTGTGTTGAAAGCAGAAATGGTTAAGTTGTGGTTTGGAGGAATATATGGGGGAAATTTTGGTTTATTATTATTGATAAATATAATTAATTGATTTGTAAGGAATTGGATTGCATGGAAATAATTGGAATATTCATGTTCATATTGATTGATATACAAAAAAGATAGTTATATAACTAATTGATTTATATTAAAATGTTGAATTTGTATTAAACTGTATTACATAATTACATAATTAA